TACTAAATACTATATTCTCTTAATTTCATTGTACTGTACTATTGTAATTAGAATGATTTCTCGCATGTGTTGCTTTTGTAGTGTGACACATCCTCGTCGAACATTTTGTAGACTAGTGTTACTGTACACTTTTTTCTTTTTGATATTTTAATGGACATAATTAGGTACTCAAACTATGCTAGTAATTGCAAGACATTAAAAAAAAGGCACTATGGTATATTTCATCTAGATCTGTGCACGCGTCTGGATGGTTAATCAGCACAAACATTTTCTCCTTACGCACATCAATATGTGATTGCCGCTGCCGCCACCACCACGTCCACCACCGCCGCCACCACCGTCATCATCATCATCATCATCATCATCATCATCATCATCATCATCAATATTATTATTATTATTATTAATATTATTATTGTTATTGTTCTCCTGCAGGTTGCACCTTTTTTCAATCAGACGTTTGTTACCGTCCATTACGCCTGAATGACTTCATAATCTGGTTTAGAACATGCTATCTGGAATAGGCATTTTAAAACCTAATAATTTACCATCAAAATGTACTAAAAACACAAAAGCTCGCATTATATTATTTATCGAACACACATTTATTTTAATCATCAACTAACATTTACAAAGACAATCTAAGATGCAATATCTTACTGTAATCATTACATTAAAAATTGTGTCACTGTAGTACTCTTTGCACAGAGACATATTATATACTGTAAAATCAGATGACAAGTATTTGAGGAACATATTTAATGAAAATGTAGGGGATTGTCTCCCGGTGTACGGCCCAATCACCCCCAGAAGGACCTCACTGGAAATAAGTCTTATTCTAGACTTTCGTGGGCTATCCTTGGTGTTTACATCGAATAAATCCAATCCAACCCAATTCAAAAAAGAAGTCATAGTTTTACCCAAGATGCTCTATTTCTTAAACCCACTAGGGCTCCTACAGGGCCCTAAACGCATGTAGATGTGTTAGGTCAATAAACATATGGAAAAAGAGTGGTGAAAAATGTCATTTATTTTGGCTGCAGACTAAAACATTATAAAATTAAATTTAGACATAAGAAATGCAAATGTACTTTTTCAGGAGGTAAAGACCCAAGGATTAAACTGATTGCAGCGGCCTACTTGTAATTTTACTTCAACTAGGCGAGAATTTTTTATACCTTGTTTTGCAAATTCATCTCTCGCACAAACTGATGATGTCAAATAAAAAGAAAATATTCTTTTTGTTCAATTAGTACACCCGCTGCCACGAACAATGGAAATTCCAGAAAAAAATACCTAGGTGTTTTTAAAATTTGTTATTACGCCCGCAAATGTGTGTCTAAGTCATACAGCATTCTTTATATTCCTACAGTACATTCATAGATAGTATCACAAACTGTTACGTTTCTACAAAGGAAAATGCCTGTATGTAGAGGCAGCCTAATAAAGGTGTAAGAAAATGTTCTGAGTTCTGCTAAATTAAATTGTAAACCTGGTTTTGTTATTGTGGCATTTGTGTCAAATTCCAATATTTAAAAAAAAATAATATTGGGCATTAACATTGCACTTCAAAAAACAATATTGGGAACATATAAAACTTTCGACTACTTTTTAAAGACAATATATCATTTTTCAAGAAACAAATTTGTATTGATGCCTAGACCAGTAAACAAAAGTCCAGCTTATTATTTATTGACTTTTCATTTGGACACTAAGGTATTAGATATTAAGACTTACTGATTGTTTACTTTTATTGATTACTTTGTTACTTGTACTGATCAGATACTACGTTCTGCAAAAAAAACTATCTGATTTATGTACTGTGCAAAAACATGATATAAATGAAATGCTTTCACTGTATAATAATATTATCAACATATTTTACCACTTTTTTGGTTTATAAATGTGCCTCCCACAATAGGATAGTTTATTGTTTATATTGTACATACAGTAAAATATGTATAAAACTTGTATCGGTAACTTTGTGCACTCAATATCAGATAAAATTTAGAGAACTGGTCCAAAGATTGCTATTCTAGCCTATTTGTACATGTTTAAATGCCTGATAAAAAGGCACCTGTGAAAAATGTTAACACAGAAGCTTACTGATTTAAAATGTGATTACAAAATTTATTCAGGATGAAAATGTACAGTGTAGGTACAGCAAAAACAAGCTTGTTATGGACTGCTGGAATTGGCTGCCATATAAAATCCAACGACCTGAAACAAATAAAAATATAAGTTTGGTTACTTTGCCTGAATAAATACAATTTATTGAATGTAAACTACAAATTTTCACATCAATTTTCTGTATTTCTTAATGAAAGGAATGGAGGTATAAATGATTGATTGATTGATAACAGGATGGTGGCTATAAATTAAAATATAAGATCACAGATATTGCTTTTATCACATTGGAAATGGTAAATCATAGGCTTCAAAAGTTTGTATTTCTTTTTTTTGTCACAATTTGTACTTGTTAAAATTCCAGTTTCCCACTGCAATAAGTACTTGAAAACACTACTCACGCTGCAGAATTAGGTGAAATGCTCTCTGCAAAATTGGTCAAATTACTGTTTAAATATTGCCGGTCTTAAATGACCTTTATGTCCACGATC